GCTGCCTTCCCCGCGCCCGAGCAGTGGGCCCGCGGGCTGGCCCCAGGCAGCCGCAAGCCGAGCGCAGCCGGGCGCAGCCACCAGCGCTCCGCCAGGCACCCCAGGCAGCAAGGCACTGGCGGCAGCAAGACCCCGCGGGCGCGCCCCTTGCCCGGCCGCGCTCCCGGCGACCACACGGCTACGCACAAGGCACCCCACGAGGTGCGCGCCACCCGCGAGGCCATCATGGCCCTGCGGGAGAGCCGCGGGGACGCAGGCGGCAAGAGCTCAGCAGCCCGGGGCACCGGCGAGTAGCTTCCCCATCGAACCCCAGCAATTTCGGAGAACCTCGACAGCCTCCATACTTGATTTCTAAAAAGACATTATATATTGATAATTTAAAAACTGTTACAAGAATCAGTGAAAGACATTATATATTGATTTGTTACAAGAATCAATGAAAAACTATATATTGATTTTTTAAGATTATATATATATATATATATATATATACATCTCCATCAAGGAGATATAAAAATCATAAACATATACACACCAAATTACAGAGCCCCAAAACGTATGATCTAAAAACTGAAAGAACTGAAGGGAGAAATGGGTAGTCCTACAACAATAGTTGGAAACATCAATTCCCCATTTTCATAATGGATGGAACAACCGGACAGAAATTCAGTAAGGAAATGGAGGACTTGAACACTCTAAACTAGTTAGATCTAACAGACATACACAGAACATTTCACCCAACAACAGCAGAATAAACATTCTTCTCAGGTGTACATGGAACATTCTCAAGAACAGATAACTCACTAGGCCATGAAACAAGTCCCAGCAAATTTGAAAAGACTGAAATAACACAAATGGTCTTCTCTGACCACATGGGAAAGCAGCTAGAAATCAGTAACAGAAAGGGAAGTGGAAAATTCCAGACACGTGGAAATTAGAGAACAGACACTCTTAAATAACCAACGAGTCAAAGAAGAAACGACAAAGGAGACTTTGGAAATTCTTGGAAACTACAGAAAATGAAAAACATATAGGATGCAGTGAATACAGTACTCCAAGGGAATCTTATAGATGTAAATGCCTCCTACACAAAAAACAATGAAATCAATAACCCAACTTCACACCTTAAGGAACAAGAAAAAGGAGAGAAAACTAAACCCAAAGCCAGTAGAAGTGAGGCTTTGGGTTTAGTTTAAAGGATAAAGACTGGAGTGGAGATACATGAAATAAGAGAATCAGCAAAACAAGCTGGTTCTTTGAAAGGATCAATTAAGTGGACAATTCTTTATGGAGGCTAAGAAAAAAGAGAAGACTCAAATTACTATAATCAGTAGTGAACAAGGGGACATTACTATGGGTTTTTCAGAAATAAGGAAAGGTTATACAATAAACAACGGCAGTATATTAGAAAACCTATATGAAAAGGACAAATACCTAGAAACACACAAATTACCCAAACTGACCCAAGAAGAAATAAGAATAGATCTGTAAGAAATAAAGAGACTGAGTCAGTAATCAAAAACATCCCAAGAAAGCAAGCCCAGGAACAGATGGCTTCACAGGTGAATTCCACCAAACATTAAGGAATTAACACTAATCCACTCCAAACTCTTGCAAAAAGCAGAAGAGGAAGGAACACCTCTGAAGTTACTGGACATGCCCTAAGTTATGAGGATAGCATAATCCTGATTCCAAAGTCAGACAAAGACACCAAAGAAAAAAACTACAGACCAGTATCTTATGAATACAGATGCAAATGTTCTCAAGAAAATACTAGCAAATGTCACTCATATGTGGAATCTAATTTTTAAAAATGATACAAATGAACTTATTTACAAAACAGAAATGGACTTACAGATATCAGAAATAAATTTATGGATACCAAAGGGGAAACGGGGTGGGGGGATAAATCAGTAGCTTAGGATTAACATACACACACTACTATATATTAAATAACCAACAAGAACCTACTGTACAGCACAGGGACCACTACTCAATATTCTGTGATAATCTCTATGAGAAAAGAATTTGAAAAAGAGTGGATATGTGTATACATATAACCGAATCACTTTGCTGTACACCCGAAACTAACACAACATTGTAAATCAACTATAAATCAATAAAATATTTTTTAAAAAAGAAAGGAAATCCTAGCATGCTGAATCCAGCAGCACATTAAAATGATTAGACACCGTGATCACGCGGGATTTATCTGAGGAATTAGAAGGGTGGTTCCACACACAAAAATCAATCAATGCAATACATCACATGAATAGAAGGAAGGGAAAAAATACCACATGATCGTCTCAATTAATGCAGAAAAAGCACTCGATAAAATTCAGCATCATTTCATGATAAAACATTTTAAAACAAGGAATAGGGACTTCCCTGGTGGTCCAGTGGTAAAGAATCCGCCTTCCAATGCAGGGGACGCAGGTTCGATCCTTAGTCAGGAAACTAATATCTCACATGCTGCGGGTCAACTAAGCCCGCGCGCCACAACTACTGAGCTCGAGCGCCTCAACTAGAGAGCCTGCGTGCCACAAACTATAGAGCCCACGCACCCTGGTGCCCAGGCGCCACAACTAGAGGAGACAAAATCCGCACAGCACAGCTAGAGAGAAGCCCGCGCACCGCAGTGAAGAGCCCACGCACCACAACGGAAGATCCCGCATGCCTCAATGAATATCCCACGTGCTGCAACTAAGAAGAGACGCAACCAAAAATTAATAAAATAAAGAAATAATAAATCTTAAAAAAAAAAAAAAAAGGAATAGAAGGAGAATACCTCAGCAGGCCCCAAGCTAATATCCCAAATACCCAAAGCTAATATAATAATCAGTGATGAAAGACTGAAAATTCTTCCTCTAAAATCTGGAACAAGACAAGGATGTCCATTTTCACCACTTCTGTTCAATATTACAGTAAAAGTTCTAGTCAGAGGAAGAAATAAAAGGCATTCAAATTAGACAGGAAGAAGTAAAATACCTCTATCTGCAGATGACTTGAGGTCATACGTAGAAAGTCCTAATAAAGAAATCCAGCAAAATCGTCGGATACCAGACCAGTAGTTTTTAATGACTTGTACTTCTATACGTTAGCAATGAACCACCTGAAAAGGAAATTTATAAGATAACCTCACTTACAATAGCATCAAAAATAATAAAATACTTAGGAATAAATTCAATCAAGTCCAAGATCTGTATACCCCAAACCACAAAACCCTTGTGAAAGACGCTAAAGATGACTTAAATAAATGGAAAGACATCTTGTGAAACTTAATATTGTTACGATGGCAACATTCCCCAAGCATTCTACAGATTCAACACAATCCCTACGAAAATCCCAACATTCTTTTTTGCAGAAATAGAAAAAGTGATCCTAAAATTCATATGGAGTTGCTAGTGAAAAAGAGTCAAATAGTCGAAACAATCTTAGAAAAGAACAGAGTTGGAGGACCCACACCTCTCAATTTCAAAACATACTACAAAGCTCCAGTTTTCAAGACATTATGCTTCTGGCATGAGGTCAGACACAGGGATCCTTGGAATAAAATTGAGAGTCCGGATATTAACCATACAACTGGTTTCATCAAGGGTGCCAACACAGTTCAATGGGGAAAGAATAGGCCTTTCAACAAATGGTGCTGGGAAATCTGGATATCCACATGCAAAACGATGAAGTTGAACCCTTATCACATACCACATAAAAATTAACTCAAATTAGATCAAAGCCTTAAATCTAAGAGCTGAAACTATACAACGATTAGAAGGAAACACAGGTGTAAATCTTCATGATCTTGAATTTGGTAATAGCTTCTTACATATGACACTACAAGCATGAGCATAAAGAAAAAATTAATTGAAACTCATCAGCGTTAAAAACTTTTGTGCATCAAAGGACACAATCAAGAAAGTGAAAAGACAACCTACAGCATGGGAGAAAATATTTGCACATCATGTATCTAATGATGTCTAGTATCCAGCATACGTAAAGAATTCTTACAACTGAACAACAAAAAGGCATGCAACGCAAGTAAAAAATGGGCAAAGGATTTGAGCAGTGATTTCTCCAAAGACAAACGCACATCCAGCAAGCACATGAAAAGATGCCCAACATCACTAGCCATTAGGAAAATGAAAATCAAAACCGGAGTAAACTTTCACTGCTAGGGCCCGTGTTCGATCCCTGTTAGGGGAACTGTAATCCCACAAGCCTTTCCACGTGGCAAAAAAACAAAATAACAAACAAACACCTCAGGGAGATATTTCACACCAACCAGGATGGGGCTAGTTCTGTTTTTCTTTTTCTTTCTTTTTTTTTTTTTTTAAGAGGAAACAGGTGTTGCCGAGGAGGTGGAGAAACTGGAACCCTCATATATTGCTAGTGGGAATGCAGAATAGGCAACCACTGTGGAAAATGGCTTGGCGAGTCCTCAAAATATTAAACACAGACTCACCACATGACCCAGCAATTCCACTCCTAGGTATACACCCAAAAGAACTGAAAACAGGGAGTCAAACAGTTGTACACAAGTCACAATAGGCAAGTAGTGGAAGCAACCTAAACGTCCATCAACAGATGAATGGATAAGCAAAATGTGAATATCTATATAATGGAACATGATTCAGCCGTAAAAGAGAATGAAGTCCTGACACCTGCTACAATGTGGGTGAACCTTGAAAACATTATTCTAAGTAAAAGAAGCCAGATCCCAAAGGCCACGTGTTGTATGGCTGGAGGTTGCCAGGTGGCTCAAGAAGGAGGAGTAGGGAGTGAGCACTAATCATTACTTAATGGGTACCAGGTTTTCTTCCGTGGTGGCGATAATGTACTGGAACTTGATAAAGGTGGTGGTGGTACCTTAAATGGTTAGTTTCATGTTATGTGAATTCTTCTTCAATTAAGAACAATTAAGCATAATCTATAGGACCTATGTTAACTTTCCTCCCTGCGAAGAAGAAAAGTGAAAAACAAACGCGACTTACCTTGCTCATGGGATGGAGACCCTCCAGGTGACGGTGTCGGCTAAGCCGAAGTGCAGCGTATTCCGAGCCAAGCTCACAGGAGGACCAGCGCGGGATAAAGTAACTTGGAAGCTCGTTTTGCCAAATAACCCTACGATAACCCTCAAACTTCTGAGGACGCGCAGCACCGAGTGGGGCCTCTGCTTTCCGGACACCACGCTCCGCCGGGGCTGCAGACCGGTGGCCACGCAGGACGGTCCCCGGAGCACGAAGGGAGGTGTACGGGTTAGGGCTCGAGCTGGACGGTCCGAGCTGGACGGCCGGAGACGCTCCCTCCCTGGCTGCAGCGCCGCGGCCGGCCGCCGGGGAGCAGTGGTGGCCCGCGCTCCGCAGGCCTGGCCCGACCTCCTTCCTGCTCCGACGCCGCTCGGATCTCGCGCGCTCCAAAGCGCCCCGAAGGCCGCGGCCCCAGGCCACGCTCCGTGCGTCTCGCTGACCACGCCCCCGCGTCCACGGCCAGGCCCCTCACCTGCCCGGCCCTCGATGGCCCCGCCCCGCGCCCGCTCCAGGCCACACCCCCTCCGCCCCGCCCCTCGGCCCAGGCCGCGCCCAGCGGTCTGCTTTGCCTTCTAGGGCTCCGCGCAGCGGGCACCGCCGCTCTCCGGGCCCCGCCCAGGCCCCGCTCCGCCTGCCTCCAGAGCGCAGACACCGCCCCTATGGGGCCTCGCCCTCTCAGGCCCCGCCCCGCCGGCAGCCAGAGTGCAGAGCCCTGGGGTGGAGCTGGAGGCGCGGGTGCTGCGCGCGGCGGGCGGCTTCGGCCGGTCCCGGTGCCTGCTGGCCGGCGCCTCGTGGCTGCCGTGCGTGGCGCTGGGGTTGGCGCTGGGCTCGGAGCTGCTGCTCGCCGCGCTGCCCGCGAACCACTGCGGGCCGGACCCCGCGCTCGCCCCCGGCCCCTGCCTGCCGCTGAGCTACCCCGAGCCCGCGCCCCGCGTCCGCCCCAACGGCACGCGGTCCTGCACGCGCGGCTGGCGCTACGCGCAGCCGGTCACCCAGGTCTTCTGCACCTGCTCCTCCGTCCCCCGCCCCGTCCTCTGCTTTCCTGCTCTGTCTCCCCCTCCCTCCGTCCCCCTGCTCTCAGCGCCCTTCCTCCGTTTCCCCTCCTCCAGGCCCGCCTCGGTCTTCGGCCCTTGATGGACCGGGGCTGTGGTACTGGGGCTTTCGATTGCGGGGGGCTCAGCCCCCTCCTGTCTGACGGTGCAGCAGGTGTCCAAGTAGGCAGGGTGCCGGGCCTAAAGGCAGAGTCTGAGGCTGGGGGCTGCCAAGGTGGGCAGGCAGTCCGGGAGGGAGGCGGTAAGCTGAAGGTTTGAGCAGGTAGGTGGCCAGCGGTCAGCAGGGCCTGGAGTTCCCTTCGGTTCCATGAACATTCTAGCAACCTGTGGCTTTGGGCTATGCAGGTGTTCAGACTGGGCTCCCAAGACTTTGAATCAAGAGAGTGACTGGGTCACTTCCTTTTTTGAAGAGCAGACCTCCCACCTGTAAGGTGTGTGCAGGCTGGCCTAGGGGCAGGGACGCCAAGGGTGCCTCCCAGGGCTCCAGGAGTGGAGAGGGTAACGGGGCCTCCCTCCCTCCGCTCTGGCTAGACCAGCCCACCCTGCCTTCCTCTTGGCAGCCTCTGTCCCGCAGCCCCACCCCCTGCCCCTGGGAGGAAGGGCCCCTGGTGGAAGCTTGGACAGGGTTGCCACATCCCTGCCAGGCCCATCTGGGGCCCTGAACCGGCTGGGCTTCCTCCTTCTGGCCACCTGTTTGGTGTAGTGACGGATCCTCGCCCACCAGCTTTCACAAGCAGTTGGATTTTAAAATAAAAACTGACGTAGTGTGACCCAAAAGGGTGTGTGAAGCTTGAGGAGAAGACACAGAGTAGGCCAGGAGGTGCAAAGCTGAGGTCAAGGGCTCTTGGCCGGGAAAAGCCGGTGGGCGTGGCCCTGCAGCCTGTTCCGGGAGTGGCTCTTGAGGTGCACAGGCCAGGGGAAGGGCAGGAGAGGCCCCGGGGCCAGCCTGGAAGCAGAGTGATGGCCGGAGAAAGGCAGGTGCAACCCTGTCCAGAGCAAAGGAGAAACCAGACTTGGGGCTCCATGTGGGTGTCCTGGGGACCCCAGGCCTCTACCCCCTGGGGGCTCAGACCAGGAATTGTCCAGTTCCACGTGAAGACCACCAGGGTCAGGAGGCCACGCCGTGTGACCCTGAGCAAGCAAGTCCCTGGTCTCTCTGTACCTGTTTCCCCTTGTCTCCAGGGAGGAATCGGAACAGGATACCTAGGGTCCCTTCCAGCGTGACATTCTGGGAACTCCAGCGGGGGTAGCGGTCCTGGCTAGCTGACAGGTGACTGGTGTCCCCTACAGTGGAACCTCGTGTGTGGGGACGGCTGCAAGGTGCCCCTGGAGCAGGTGGACTATCTCCTGGGCTGGTTGCTGGGCTGTGTCCTCCTGGGCCCAGGCTGTGACCGGTGAGGCGCTGCCCCTGCCCTTCTGCCCTGGCAGCCCTCCGCTGAGCCCTCCTGACCCAAATCCACGTGTGTCCCCTGCTGCCCACTAGGTTTGGCCGCCGGGCTGTGTTTGTGGGCTCCCTGGCGCTGGCCACGGGCCTGGGGGCCAGCAAGGCCCTGGCCACTGGCTTGCACACCCTGCTGGTTCTGCGGCTGCTTCGTGGGGGGGGGCCTCAGCAGGGGCCTCCCTCGCCCTCTGTGTGGCTCGTGAGTACCGTGGGGGCTCTGGGGGGGCGCCCACTCAGGCTAGGCCTCTGACCCGCTGGAGGGTGCCTTTCTGGCACTCCAGTTGGGGGCCCTTCTCCAGAAGGTGGGTGGGGAACTGTTTGCGGGCTCTGCTCTTTGTGGGCAGGCCTGGGTGCCAGAGCGAGCAGCGCGTTGGCCTCAGATGTCCAGGTCCTGGGCAGGCCAGCGACTGATCACCACAGCCCTGGACAGGGCAGCCCTCCCGAGAGGCCTGGGCCTCAGGCCGTCTGTGTCTGCCCAGGCCTGGAGCCGTGTGACGCCCCGCACCGCCTGGCATTCTCCGTGGGGGTGGCCTCTTCTCCGTGGTGGGCATGCTGCTGCTGCCTGGCCTGGCCCTGCTCCTAGGGGACCAGCACCTTCTGCAGGGGCTGAGCGCCCTGACAACGGGACCCCTGCTGCTGTTTTGGGGGTGAGAGGGGTTCACATCCACTGTGGAGGCCACGTGTGTTGCTTCCCTCTGACCTCCATGCAGCATCAGGAAGACGGGCACGGGACAGGGACCCAGGGACACAGAGCCACGCCCTGTGCTCCGCCACTGGGTCCTTCTCTACCGGGAGGTCCCTTGGCATCCTCACCCAAAACCCGCAGGTTTCCAGCCCTGTTCCCCGAGTCTCCCTACTGGCTGCTGGCCGCAGGGCAGCCGGCCCGAGCCAGGAAGGTCTTGTGGCGCTGTGCGGAAGCCAGCCGTGTGGACCCCAAAGACGGCTCAGAGGAGGAGGGCTCCCTGGCCACGGGTAACGGGCCAGCCCGGGGGGGCCTGGGTACTGGAGGAGGGAGGGGAGGTGTCGCCTCCTCATTCACGCCCCATCATGTCCCCGGGGCCGCAGAGCTGGACGTGCTGTGTGCAGGGAGCCCCCAGCCCCGGCACCACTCGGTCCTGGAACTCCGGCATACCCGCGTCGCCTGGAGAAACGGACTCATCCTGGGCTTCAGTTCGTGAGGAGGGGAGCGTGTGGGTGGGCGAAGGGGAGGGAGGGATCTTTGCCTTCCCCATGGGGTGAGAGTCTGCGGCTCTGGCTGGGCCTGCAACTTTGCCGTGCCTCCCAGGCTGATCGGCGGGGGTATCAGAGCCAGCTTCCTGCGTAATCTGGCCACGCGTGGCCCCGCCTTCTGTTGGCCCTACTTCCTGGAGGCCAGCCTGGAGGCAGCGGCCCCGGTCTTCCAGCTCCTGACAGCAGACCTCTGGGGGCGCCGCCCCGTCCTGCTGCTGGGCACCTTGGTCCTGGGCCTGGCACCCCTGCTGCTCCTTGCAGGGGCCCAGTGTGAGTGCGGGGCCCTGCAGGCTGGCAGGGTTGTCATGTGTGGGTGGGGCTTTGCCCCGCGGTGGTGGGGATCCCAGAGAGGCAGGCACAGGGCTTGAGGCATTCGCATGAGGCTGCTGTCCTCCTCTCCCCACCCACCTCCCCAGTGTGCATCTGGGGAAACTGAGGCCCAAAGAGGTGAGGGCCAGAAAGATTCTATGTGAAGGGGCTTAATATAAGGGCTTGATGTGGCCGGGGAGCAGCCTGCAACCCCTGACCCCAAGTGCCGGAGCAGAGGTGGAAGGCTGGGGCGGCCGGACCCCCGAGACACGGGTGAGGGGAAGGAGGGAGTGTGGGCAGCGTGGGGCCCTCTGCTCCTCCCCAGAGCTGCCTGGCTGGACGCCGCTGCCCGTCTCTGTTCTGGGGCTCCTGGCCTCCCAGGCAGTGTCCGCTCTCAGCAGCCTCTTTTCAGCCGAGGTCTTCCCCACGGTGAGCAGGTGAGAAGGATGCAGGGTTGGAGGGCAGGGCCCTGCCTGTGCGCCCCGCGCTCCCCACACCCCAGGTCCGTGCCATCGGGACCAGAGTTCAGGTGTCTCTTCCTGGGTGTCGAGGGGGACAATGGCCGCAGAAGGGTCTGCATATTGGCTCAGGAGTGGAACGGGCGGTGGTTGGGAGTGAGAGCCCCCAGACAGGGTCGGATTCCAGGGCAAAAATCGACTTTCAATTTTCTAATGGAAAGGACGCTTGATCCAGGGCAGCTTCCCCCCAAGACTCTGCAGGTGTCTTCCTGGGGCCCACTAAGGGCCATCCACCCCAGGAGCGCTGGGTGCCCCGCTGGGCCGTGTCCCACCGCCCCCTCTTGCAGGGGTGCCGGGCTGGGCCTGGTGCTGGGAGCTGGGTTCCTGGGCCAGGCGGCGGCCCCGCTCAGCGACACGCGTGGCGGCGCGGTTTCTTCCTGCAACACGTGGCCTTCCCGTCCTTGGCCGTCCTCGCCCTGCTGCTGCCCGAGAGCCGTGGCCGCGCACTGCCCCCGTCGCTGCAGGACGCCGACCGCCTGTGCCGCTCCCCACTCCTCTGGGGCCGCCCCCGCCAGGACCACCTGCCCCTGCTGCCAGCCTCCCTCCCCAGGGCCGGGACACAGCTGGTCCGGGAGGAGTGACCAGGCTGCAGAGACACGCCGCCCGCCAGTACGGGCAGACGGGTCCCGGGAAGGAACGGGTGGGTGGTGGGAGGAGGGCCTCTTTGCCGGGGGCCCCGGTGCCCCCTCCACGTGGGGCATAAAGGCATCCGTGGAAACTGGCACCCTCGCTGTTTCTTCCCTGAGGCCGCACCCTTGGCTGAAGGGAGCTTCTGGTGTCCACCTCCCCCTCGCAACCAGGTATCCGCAGCCTCTCCCGCTGCCCCCACCCCCTCGAGGGCCAGCCCGCTGCTGCAGCTCTGGTGGGACTGAGGTGCAGAAAAGCCCTGCAAGTCGCCGTGTCAACTGCGCGTGGGAGAGATGAGCGCGTTTTTAATTCACGTTTGCCCGAAAGCCGCTTCCTCTCACACAGAGGTGAGGTCAGCCTGGGCGAGAAACAGCTGGGAATGGGGCCCCTCATCCCATTGGACGCGACTGGCGGGGCAGGAGAGGCGCCTCCTTCTGGCCAATCCACTCTAGGCTTTGGGGCCTGACTTCCCCTGGCAGAGACCAGGCCGGCCAAGGCCCCAGGGCGGGGCGCAGGGCCCTCTGTCCATCTCGACACACAGCCGAGTCCGGCGTGTCCGCTCGGGCGCCTGTGGTCTGCCCTGTGTCCGGGAGGCCGTGCCCTCAGGAGGGTGGGTGCAGGTCCCCATCAGAAAGCCTCTTCCCTGGTGCCCTCACGGGGCCCGTACAAGTCGGCCAGCCGGGCAAAGCGGGGCCCCCAGTCCCAGAGGCAGCTGTAGTCTGCGTCCTCATCACCCAGGCTGGACAGGATGGAGCTCAGCGTGCCCGCCACGGATCCGTCCCCCTCGTAGTCATAGATGAGAGCCGTGTCGTAGGGTGGGACGGCGGGGTCGCTGTCCACGGCCTCTAAGCCCTGTGGAGAGGCCTGGGGCTCAGGACCAGCGCGCACCGGCCAAGCGCCCTCCGCCACCGGCTCGGCCAAGGCCTGGCCCCAGGAGCCGGGTTGGGGGCACAGTTCTCTCTGGGCGACTCTCCTTCCTCGTCAAGAACCACCACCGCTCTGTCCAGCCCCAGAGCGATGCCTCAGGCTCGTGGGGTGGGGAACAGGGTGCGGGGCGCCCCTGGGGCACCTACCTCGTTGATGAAGTCAGCGATGTCAGAGGGGCTGCTGGGCAGCACGCGGGGGGCCTGGGGGTGCGATCGGCTGAACGGGGCGTCTCTGCGCAGAGAAGGCCGTCCCAGGGGGGCGCCCAGGGCCGCCAGCTCTGCCGGGTGGCGCAGCTGGTCCATGTCGTAGGCATCCTGAGAAGGGACGGACGGAGCGCGTGGGGATGAGCCGCAGCCATCGCGGGTCGGGAGGCGGCTGGCCAGCTGGGGCCCCTGGGGAGCCCCCCAAGCACTTGTAAGCCACCCCGGCCCCCTCACCTGGTCCTCCTCCCCGCCCCCCTGCTCGTCGTAGTTGAGGATGCTGTCCCGAAGGTCGTCCTGCAGCCCGTGCAGAAGCCTCTTGTCACACGACTGCTGCCGGCACCGCACCAGGAGGGCCACCAGCAGGGCGAGCAC